GTACACACCACCTCAACTTTTATTGAGAAAATGCCATAAAAATAAAGAAAGTGTTGGCCAATTTTTTCAACTTGAACAATTTTTAAATTATTTAAAAATTTTAAAAAATGATGATAAAAAAATTCTCTTAATTCTTGATGACATTGATGATGATAGCTCAACGATAAATGAGAAATATGAATTTCTTAATTATCATTTGCCAATGATTATCATGTCAAGGAGAAGAGAAGGAGAGAAATTATATGAAGAGAGCTCTTTACATGGTGGTTATTGCTCTATATTTGAATTAACAGGATTTAATGAAGGTCAGTTATGCAGCCATTTCCAAAGGTACATAATGGAATATAATTTTGAAAATGATTATTTCTTAAATGATGTCAAACTACAAAGAAAAATACTATGGAAGAGTTAAATCAACTTTTAACTATCTTAAATAGTAACAGTAATAGAAAATATCTATTCAAACTTTGTAATAATCCTTTTATGGCAAATTTAATATTATTCATTTGGAAAGAACAAAATTGCTTCAATATATTGCGCAGTAAATTTGAAATATTTGACTATATTTCAACATTATGTTTACAAAAAGGCAGAGCGATAAATAGGGAAAATACGATTTATTATCTAAGTTTATTTGCTTTTTATGATCTATTCCTAATTGAATTTACATGGAAAGAGATAAATTCAATAAATAATATTATAAAAGAATACTATTATTTTCATTGGTTTTTCAATCCTTCAACAAGGAAGAGTAGGTTAAATTTTGAATTTTCACACAGGCTATTTAAAGAATATTTTGCGGCAAAATTCATCATTAGCTCGTACCAGAATGAAAAACATGAAAATATTCAATTAATAGAATCAATAATTAGAAATTTAAAGAATGTGTTTATGCTGAAAAACGTTTGCTTATTTGTCCTTGACAGAGACTGCAATATCTGTACAAAGTTAATAACTATAAAAGGATTGGATAATATTTTATCTCTTCTGGATGTAGATGAAAGACTTTGTATATATATTAAAAATGAATCCATTATCACTGCAATTGAATTATCTGCTGTTAGATTACCAATTGGAATTTGGAGATTAATCCTACATAACTCTACTAATCCTATCAAAAAAATTCAAATAACAGATGTAGATGTAGATTTAAATAGCTTTATTCATGTTGGACAAGAATTTCCAAAAAAAATTCTCTTTCTGCTTTGGAAATTTATGATAACAATCTAATGAGTTCTATCATTAATGCTGAAACGATACAAAATATTATTTTTGCCACTATCTTATTGGCTAATTGTCTAAAAGTATTAAAATTACCAATTATTAAATGCTCAAATAGTCAAATAGCAACAAAAGCAGCAACAATGATTGATGATTTAATGATGACAAAACTCGATTTGAAATTTCTAGATTTTGGTGGAAATTCTCTTGATAATATCTTGATATACAATTTTATTAAAAAGCTAATTTCTTGTTCAATTAGCTTAAAAGTGTTGGTTACAAATAGTTACATTCCAACATTTAATGAAATATTCTAATAATAATATTTCATCTCCAAATATTTTTAGAAAAATTGACCTAAAAAATTGCCAACTGTCTGATGATTTCTTAACAACATTGATAAATGTTTGGACTGAAATAACTTCAATAAAAAGTTTGGATATTAGTTACAATGACTTTTCAAAGGATACTAGTTTAAAATTTTTAAAAAGGATTAAAAATGAAAATCTTCAACAATTTACCAATTTGTACATGCATCATTGCAATTGGGAAAATATAGATATATTTGAATATTTAAATTCAATTTTGGAAATAAAGTATTTAAGAATTTTCAATTCAAAATCAAGACATACTAAATTGGTGTCAGATGTGAAAAATGAAGATAAAAGTTTTGTAGTTAATATTAATTCAGAAACTTTTAATTTATTTAAAATGAAAGAATTATGTAGAGTTATGAAAGATATTTCTGACCTGAAAACTCTAGATATAAGAATTTTAACCTACTATGAGAGGAAAATTGTAGATTTACACATCAAATTGGTAGTATTATTGGTGATTCAATAGGCAAACAAACAAACCTACATTTACTTGATATATCTGAAAATTATTTTGGAGATGTTGTTGGAAAATCTATATTTATAAATATCCGATGGAATTGTTCAAAACTTGCAAAATTTGGTTTTGGTAGACGTGGATTTACTTCTAAAATTCATAACATTGTAGCTAGTGCAATTGGTCAACAAACTAACCTTAAAAATTTGCATTTTTGCCAAAATGAAATGGGAGATACTATTGGAAAATGTATATTTCAATTAATACATCGCAATTGTCGAAAAATCTCTTCCCTTAAGTTACAAAAGTGTAGATTTTCTTTTCGAATTGGAAATATTGTTTGTGATGCAATCGGTCAACAAAGTGATCTTGAAATTTTGTCAATTTGCGATAATGATTTCAGAGATGATATTGGTGAACATTTATTTGAGAAAATTTATAAAAATTGTCAAAAGATCTCGTGTTTAACTATTGGAAATTGTCAGTTTTCTTCTACAATAGGAAATATCTTGGCAAAAGCAATTAGTCAACAGAAAAACCTAGAAATATTAGATATAAGCGATAATAATTCAGAAGACAGCGCTGGAAGAGAACTATTCAAAAGTCTTCGAAATAGTTGTACAACCCTCACTAAACTTGATATATCTAATTGTGGATTCACTTCCACAATTGGATTAGCTTTAAGTGATGCAATCGGTCAGCAAACTTGCCTACTAACTCTCATAATCCAAGAAAACCCTTTAGGAGATGCAACAGGAAAATCTCTTTTTTCAATTATAGTAAAGAACAATAAAAAAATTGAATATTTAAATTTTAGTAGTTGTGAACATTTTCCAATAATCAATTAGGAGACACTGTTGGAGTTAATCTTTTCCATAAACTCAAGGCAAATTGCTTTAATATTAAAATTCTAAAATTTGAAAACTGTGGATTTACTACAGACATTGGAAATATTTTAGGAGATTTAATTAGCCAACAAAACAATCTTAGAATATTGTTTATTGCAAATAATCAATTTGGTAATGACGTCGGAAAATGTCTGTTTCAAAATATTAAAAAGTCTTGTAGAAATATTTCTAACAATTCAATACAACAATTGTGGATTTACCTCCAAAATTGAAAATATTATTTGTGATGCTTATCGTTTGCCAAAAACAATTAAAACTTCTTCATATTTGGAACAATCGATTTTTGTATAGACTTGGGAGGGTCTCCTCCAATGGTTAGGGGTAATGAAAAAAGTTAGGTACAGCCATTGGATGAGTTAGGGTTAGGTAAAAGCAGGCATTTGTGGACCATAGATTTATATTTTCTAAAAACGAATAATCTTTTAAAATTTCTCCTAAGCGATTAGCTCTCCTCTTATCTAAATTACAATTAACATGTTGATTTGTCTTACAGTAACAGAACTTGATTTGAGCCCTTGATAGAACACTTCAAAACTGCCTTCTGTGTTCCAATTTAATGAAAGATCAACACTCTCTATTCTATGACAAACTTGAAGTGCCTTTCCTATAAAATTCGCTTGTTCACTATTTAAATACAAATTCTTCAAACAGATATATCTTCAAAGCCCTCGTCCATGTTATCAATTTTTTTTGGTATTAAAAGTGTTTCTAACTATAATATCCAGAATCCATTTTATGCATTTTTGACATAGGGTTAGGTTAGGTTGATTATTCTTTTATGTTTACAAAGACATAATGTTCAATACTACTTTTTTATGAATTGCTGTCCATTGGGTATGCGACAGCAAATGTGCCAAAATGCATGGTTTACCCCTAACCCTTAGACTCCTCCTAGTCATTTTTCAATCCGAAATATTGCTTTCAAATATCTCACTTGGGGACGTTTTCTGTCAGCCCCGTCCGTTGTCATTAGAATTGTAGGCCTAAAAAAAGAGAAGTGAAAACTACTTTACTAGATATTGTAACAAACCATACATATGTAATATCTCAACTGCTCTTTCTTGCAGTTAATAGCAATTTTAACTCCTGCAAAGAAACTGAAAAATAGAAGTAAAAGGGGACTTGAATGCATTCTATCTCTCTGAAACTAAAGCAATTTCCTTCATTAACAAAAGTGAAAAATCAAAAGTAATTTTTTTGGAAGTTTAAATTTATCAATAAAGAAAAAATGAATAGATTTGGCATAGAGTTAAGAGAAATAAAGAAAAGGTAAGGAAAGGTTTTATACTTTTTGAATCAACTAAATGATTCTATGGCAGACAGAGGAGAATGAAATGCAGTCTCTGCTACAAAAGGAATATCCTTGTTGTGAATAATTCTGCTAGAAAAGAATTGATGTAATACAGACATCAAGTCACCTTGAAGAACAATTTACTGAAGATATATTAAAGAATTTAAATGAAAATGAAAAGCAGTTAATATTTTAGCCCTTCAAAGTCTAAGACAGAGAAATCAGTAGAGAATTTCATCTTTTCTCAATTCCACAATGATGATAATATGCTATAAAATGATTAATTTAGTTTTATTATTAATTACTATAAAACACTTCATATGTTGTTCCAGTATATTAATTAACTTAATTAGTATATCAATTTTTTCAAGTTTGAAAATTAATTCTGATTGTTTGCAAGCAGTGAATGCCCCTGTTTGGTAACCACAGTTTTTTTAAAATGCTTACAAAATTAGCTGACAGGATACGCAAGTAAGTAATTAGTGAGTTTTTTGAATAATAAACTATGAACAAGAAATCGATATCGATCGTCTTGTGTTATTGAACAATTTACATTTTATTATTTATGTTTGCGATTTGTATATTGAGTGTATTTTTAGAGGACAATATCTGCTGAAATGGGCTTGTACAAAGCAAAATATCTGTCTATAGGCATTGAAAAAGATTTGGATATAGAAAATTTATACTTTAGAAATATCCAGAAATGATTTATTTGAATAAATAAAAAAAAAGAATATTAATTTATGGATGCAAATGTAAAAGAAATAAAACATTTAAATAAACTACTCTTTTAACATTATTTTATATAATTTGAATTTCACACAATTCAATATAATTTACAGATTTTTCCAAGTACAATTGCAAATTAACAAATTTTGTTGGCAAACATTCAAAGACTTTGCCTAAGCTTTCCTTACATTGTGATTCATCATTGACATAGACAACAAAAGTTGGCTTTTGAGTATTGAAATCTTTTCCATGAATTATAAATTTTGAGAATATTCTAATAGTTTCTATAGTGAGATGCAGGGGGTTGGCAGTAAAGGTCAGACATGTACTTTGATCATTATCAAACAGATTTTGTTTAATTACACTCCATTTGTTATTACCACACACATCAACTGGGAATTTTTGTTTCACTAAAATAAGGGGGAATGTACATTTCAATTTCCAAATACTATATTTGATACGTTCAGCAGCACCCCCAACATCACCAAGATAAATCTGTTTTAACGGTAGCCTTGACGACTTTACTGAAAATATACCCGAATCATTTGTCCAAACTAGCTTGTTATCATTGTAAAATCCTGCTGTGGGGGAAAGCTCGTCCAAACATTTTGTAGTTGAAAAACAATTACATATGCCATCCGTAAATTGTTCAGCTTCAAACTCAGCACCATCCCAAAATAAGAAGCCATGGTCAGTTTTTAATGATCCATATGCCCAGTAATTTATGCCTTGTGAACAGGTGTGTACGGTTTCTAAAAACTTATCAACTTCTTTATCAGATAACCCTTCATAGGTTATTAGCTTTTTGAATGAATACTTTGTTTCGTATCTATCATCATTATTCAATTCTTCAATCTCTTCAGAATCGTTATCTAGATACACAGTTCCTAATGTATCGTTAATCATTTCACAAGAAATATTAACAGTTTTAGAGTTGGGATGAAATTGCATTTGAAAAAATCCAAAATTTTGTTTCGATTCTATTATTGCCTGTGAACATGATACATAGAATTTATCGCTATCCTGTGAATATGATTTATTTAGTATTAAGAAGAGATAAACAAGAATATGGACAATCATTTTGAAATCTTCAACGAAACTGAAAATATAGTTTTGCTTCAGATATTGCAGAGAAATATGTTAATAACATTTCTCTGCCCAAACAATCATAGGCTAATGAATAGTAATGTATACCCATTGATGTATTTTAATAAGGGAGACTTTTTTATTTTCAAAGGCCAATCTATTGTTCAGAATATTCCAGAACAACAGCAAATATCAATAATTCGCCTTTGTACTTTCCTGTTGTTGGTTCGTTAGTAACGGCTGTCATGGAAAATGTCCACAAAATTGTGCTTTTACCCTAACCCTAAAACCTACCCGTTGAACTCTACTTGCTGTTGAAAACGCCCAGTTTGTAATAAGATTTTTGCTTGGAAATGGATTAGTATCATTATTATTTGTAACAGAGAAAACTGGTAAAAGTTGATAAAATTTTAAATAATCTGTATTAATAAAATGAATATCCTGGTAATTTTGGAAAATGTTCAATTGAAATCTTCATCTAGACTAGGCATAACTTTATGAAAGATTTTGAATTGAATTATAAAAGATTATATTACCAATACTTTCTAATAGTTTTATATATTGAAATATTAATACAATTTCTTTTTTAAGTGGCTTCTTTGTTAAATGAATTCTTTGAAATTATTCTACACTTCTATTCATGAATTGTCTTCATTTCTCTGTTCTTACCTTTCTTTATAATATATATTTATATATTATATAAATTTATATATATATATATAGAAGTAATTGAATGAAGTTACGAAGGTTATTGAATCTTTGTAAAATTCTTGAAAAATCCAGAAAAAAAGTACATTTTCTCTCAAATTATTCAACGATCTGAGAAGATCATCTAGAGAAAACTTGAGCTGGAAAAAGGCCTATATCCTCCTACACTGGTTGCTAGTTTGACAACTTGGCAAAAGTGCTACTAAAAACTATTTTACTCTGCTATTGAACTTTTGTATAATTTTTATTTTATTTTTGCTTTAAGGAATGATGTTTCCAGCAACAATAAACTATTGCCATTACTTTAATGTGAATTAAATCAAATGAATCTTGAATATCTATATTTTTAAATAGCATTGATGCACAGTTTAAAAATTAGGGATTTCAGCTTTGCCAAATCGTTAAATTCTCTCAATTTCTATTTCATCTCATTTTCAAAATCCAATTTTAAGTTTTCTAAATCTGACTTGATAAGTAAATACCCTCTAAAAAAAGCCCTACAAGATGGGCATTCAGGCTTTTTAAGGGCTATTAAACACTCTTTGCAGCATAGTACATGACTACAGGGCAGCGTTAAAGTATCAGCAAGTTTATAATAACAAATTTTGCACTGCAAACAAGTTTTTAATTCAGCAAAAGTTTCAAATTGAGTTTTTGTTAAAGATTTCTCCAATTTACTTGTGATAAGAACCAGAGAGACAAATGGCTAGTTCAGAAATTTTTTGTATGATAAAGAAAGATAAATTGATTAATTTTAAATTCTGATGTCAGTGAAAATAATTTTAATAATTTTTAATCTTTTTGTACACATATTAAGTGTGATGGAAAAAACTGTGTTTTTTTTGTTAGAAATCTTTGATGAAATATATTAATTTTTTGGTATGTTATAGCCTATAGTCTACTCTACAAATGTTAAGAATTTAATTTTTAATAGTCCCCTCCTTTCTCTATGCAAGCCTGCCATTTGCTAGGAAGTAGACTAATGCTGTTGGATATGGTCCTTCAATTCTCCCAGAAACATAATAGTCAGAGGGAGCCAAATCAGGGCTGTATGCTGGGTGAGGGCACAATGACCACCCTTGGTCTCTTATGAAATCTGTTGTGTAGAGACTTGTATGTGGTCTTGCATTATCATGCTGCAATATTATTTGTTTTCCAGGTTTAATTCTATGTAATCTCTTCCTTAGTCTCTTTAGGGTCTACACATATTGTATTGAGTTGACTACTTCTCCATACTCCATGAATTCTATGTGGACTAAACCTGAACAGTCCCAAAAGACTGAGCACATCAGTTCTTCAGCTGACTTAGTCAATTTAAGCTTCTTTTCAGGTGGAGATGATGTATGCTTATAAGTGAAAGAAGACCTTTTAGATTCTGGATCATACAGGTGTACACAGCTTTCATCTCCAGTCACAATTTTTTCTAAAAAGTCTCTTCCTTCTTGTACTTTGTTGTATTGTAATTGTAGGAATTTCTGCTTCTTCAGAACAGTATATGTCTTCTTCAATCATTGATCAACTCACCAAAGTACTCACACAAATAGAACCTTTTAAGTTCATCCACAAATAGTCTCAATAAATGTAATTTAGGTAGAAATTAATCAACAAAATGCCAGTTTATCATCCAAAGAGTATGTATTGAGTAAATGAGTTTCTAGTTCTAAACAAGTAAGTTTAAACAGCCAGCTAAGGAATAAAAATGGTGAAATGTAACAGCCTTGTAATACACAAGTAACAAAAATATCAAAGACTATAATATATTATCATAATGATAAGGCAAACATTACATGACCAACATCTGCCACTGGAGATCAAACCTGCCTCATCAACACCTGGCATTGCCCAAGATGTAACAATTTTGACATGCATCTTTTCCATGTTCTTTGTTCCTTTGTTAATTTCATAGTGGCTCCATCTACTATGGACAAACAATCTATTTCCTACTAAATAGAGTTGTTTCAAAAGTTCTAGAATCTTATTCTACGAAATAAAAGCCTTTCTAAAGTTCCACCATTATAATTTCTACGAAAAAGAAGTTATTCTAGAATTCCTTTAAACCTAAAGTCTAAATACCAATATGTCAATATATCTAAGTGTACACTTCTGCTGTGTATCTTTTGTCTACTTTTGTAGGTGGTGTCTGTACAAGGCGTAGTAACAAGTGCATTCAAAGTTTGTATTATTTTATGCCTTTATAATGTCAACCATTCAAATAATTCAGATCCAGCATCAAATTCACCATTATGTTTGAGATGTTTTCAAATCTCAAAAAGGAATTGTGTTGTAATATTGAAAAGAATAGACCAAGAAAAAGGAAAAAACAAAAGTGAATACAGAGGGGAGTTGAGATTATCATTTTCTATGGATAGCATGGAGAACTTTGCTGACTGTTCAATGGAAGTTCAAAGTGTTGTGAATGGTGAGGATATTGTGTTCAGTAATGAAATTGAAAGAAATACACTGGCTACAGTCACTGGTGATGAAATCTCTGATGTGTAGGAAGAGTCTTTTGAAAGTGCTATTGATATTGATCAAACCAACCGTGACACAGACAGGTGTCATTTTAAAATTTTACCAAAAGCAAGTCAGAAGGGAAAAGACTTTCTCATCTATAATGGCTATAGATTAAAATCAAAAGAAAAGCTACTACAACATGGATTTTCCCAGTTTGGAATAAATCTAACAAATGTTCAGCTACCATCAGCCACAAAGAAAAAAATTTCCATAGTGGAAGAAAAGACCATATTCACTCTCCTATGAAAAATGCTGAACAGCAGATTGTAATCAGAAATGATATTAAATATTAAATCTGCTAATGATATCAAATCATCAGGTAAAAGAATTGCTGAGGAAATTCTTTTAAAACATTCAGATGGAAAATGCAGTTTGCACAATTGCAAAGAAGTAGCAAACTGCAACAGACAAAAAATACGCCAGCTGAACCTAATGGTTTAAATTTTTAACTTGATTTAACTTTTTTGCCATTTGAATTTTTGAAGAAAGATATTTATTCAAACAATGAAAGAATATTATTTTTTTCAAGTGACCATCAGTTAAAATTCTTGTCTATAGCATGGGAGTGGGTATGGGAGAAAACATCCCATTTTCTGGTGTGTTGCTCTAAACTTAAACTTTAGCCTACTGGAACTTTTTCTACCAATCCCCTTATCAACTTACAATTGAGATAATGATTGATTGATTGCTTTTGGTTGAATTAGGCAATTCAATTCTTTTATGAAAAACACAACAAAGCTTGACTGTTGAAGAAGCTTGTAAAAAGAAAACATACAGGAACAATGTAAAATATCCAAAAGCGCATGCGCACTGCATAAAGACAAACCAGGAAATAGTTATCAGTTATAGTTTGTTTTAAATAAAAAGAATTAATATTTCTAATTGTTAATCAATTCTATAAATAATTGTTTTTCATGAATCAATCAGGAAGAGTCCGGGGGTCCTTTATCCTAATTATCAATATTGAAACTATATCATTACTCATTTATAATTTTTCAAATATTCTTTTCAAGAAAAAGGAATCAATGGCTCTGGATTTATTCTTTGAACAATGTTTTTCAATTGTAATCTTAAAATATGGCAAAACTGTCAATTTAAATATTAAGGAAACAATCTAATCTATTCAAGACAAACAAGATTTTAACAGATTTTTGCAATCCTTTCTAAATGATTTCAATTTAATATAATAAATGATAAAATTAATAACATTATTAATAAAAAGTATATGATACAATATTGATCCAACATCTGCAAGTTGTCCTGAAAATGTTGATAGAAAAGGCAAAAGAAAGATTATATAGAGAATTACCAAATAAAAACATAAGAACATTTGCCTGATTGTTCTTTTTGTATTGTTTTTGGGAAGTTTTGCATTGAAATTTCCAACTGCAAATCTTTTCTTTCTTAAATTATAAAACATAATTAAATATAATCCAATTGATGTTATAAGAATAACTATTGTAAGTATCACTACCATATTGACAATTATTGACCCCATTAAACCGTTTCTATTTCCTGGATAGCATAAATATATCTTATCTATAAGGTATTTGTCGATTGAGTACAATGCTGAAATTGTAAACAATGTAAGACAATACAATACGATTGATATTCTCCACTTCTTCATTGAGATAGTTACGAATGGCCTACAAACTGCAAAGAATCTCTCCACAGCTATCATTAACAATATACCAATTGACATCCAAGGAAAAAATACTTGTAAAAATGCTATACAACTGCAGATAGCTTTGTGAGTTATAGGTAAAAGACGATTCTGTATATCTGCATAATAAGCTATTGGTATTGAAAAACTACATGTCAACAGATCAACCCATGAAAGATACTTCA